TTCCTTCCTTTCTGGCACCATAAGATGTTCCAGGCTTGTCTTGTGTTGTCTCTGTCCCAGCCCTGCAATCCTCCAGTCCTTCCAGGGCCCATGGTTTCCTTTTTTGAAGAGTGGTATTTAAACATCAAGATCAAGGGACTAGGTGTGCTCATTGCTACTGGAGTATTATTGTTTGTGGTTCCTGGCAGAAGACATGAATATATATAAGTATAAATATATGTATTATTTATTTTTATAAATATTTGTCCTTTATAGATCATGTTACATATTTATTATTTATGTAATTATAAAAGACTAAATATTTACTTATTTATATTCATTATATTTATTTATAAATATATATATATTTCTTGGCTTTGTACATGTGTATCCACATATTCCATGGATATACACATACACACATGCATATACCCATGCATACACAAAGATTTGTTTTTGTATTTATCTGTATATATGTATTCATATATCTGTGTATATATATTTTTAAAAATAAAAATTCATTCTGAAAGTTCCATTTGTAAACGAACACCACAGGGTTCATCCTAGTCATGCCCCTTATTTGTTACTTCTTCTTTTGACAGAAAGCTGGCTTTCATGTTCTATATAATATTTTATTTGCTCAATTCTCACATAAAGGAATTTCAGGATTTCTAACCCTTATGCTAAAAAACAAATTTGCTAATTAGAATACAGTTGTGTGTAGTTCTTTTTGTCTTTAGCTTAATGGTATCCAGTTAAAATAGTGTTTTCCAGAGTTACCTAGATTATTTTCTTCCCCTACTTTCAGTGTGGTTATGCTATTCATTGGTAATATGGTTTTGTTTTTATTAGTTTGTGTTCCATTTTATGTTTCTCTACGTTTTGTTTTTGTTTTTTAGTTTTCAAAAATTCATTCTTTGTAATACACAGTTCTGTGAGTTTTGGCAAATGTATATAATTGTGTATCTACCACCCAGACTGTCATGACACAGAACAATTCTATCACCTCAGATATTCCATTACACTTAAAAAAAAAAAGTTACAAGGAAATTGACTCTACAGAAGTTTGGGAAATTAGGCATTTTTGTATGTTTTGTCTTGTCTTTTTCATAGCATATTTTACACAGTTGTGATGTTAATGCAAATGTATTTTTCATTTTTGTCATTTATTTCTATCAGAAAAATGTTCCAGTTTTTTGACTGAAAAATCAAGAAATGATGAAATACTTGTTTTTCAGTTAATTTTAACAACACATTTTGTATGTTGGATTACATACCTTCCTTTAACAACTTACAAACTACTGCTGTCCAACTTTCTGTTTCTGTAACATCACGATTTATGCAATTATTTGAATGTTATATTCTCATTTTAGTGTATATAGGCATTTTATTATAATTTTATAGAAATGGAAATTGTGGAGAGAAGAAAAAAATACTGGCCAGAAGGAGACCAAGAGTTGGAAAAGTCTCTTGGGAGGTTCTTGGGGCAGAATGTCTTCCCTTATAGATGGTCCTTAGGAGTCAGTAGGTTTTCCCTGGACACGGAAAGCTGAGGGGTAGAATCATGCATAACTCTGACCTGGAAACATCACTTTTGGAACTGAAAAAAATCTATCATCATAGTGTAGGGGAATAGTGCAAACAAGTCAAATATCTAATAATTGGGATTTGTTATGTATACTATAAACTGGTTATTGGAGGAGAAGAAAAAATCATTAGAGTTGTATATCAAATGATACATAAATGATGCCTGTAAAAGGGCATCTGGACAGAGGGAGCATCACTGCAAAGCCAAAAGTAGAGATTGGGTGATAATACTTAGATTGTGTGAATCTGTGAACATTGTATTTTCTTTTTCAAATAATAGGGAACTCAAGGAAGTTTTGTTCAGAGGAGTAGCATATTGCAAATAGTGTTTTTGGTATATTGGTGGTAATGTGTGAGGAAAAATTGGAAAGGGGAAAGAGTTTTTAAAAGTAGCCTAATTAAGACACTTGTAAGGTGCTATGCATATTGCATTATTTGGCGTGATGGGATTAGAAATGATGAAGAAAGGATCTGTGAAGAAATATTTTAGTTCCATCAGCATCTATTGAAAACCATGTATAGTTAAAAAGAAAAAGGAACAGTGGTAGATAAAAAGATACCTTCCTGTAGGATATAACCTGCATGGTAGAAAAAAATGCAAGCAATGTGATAAACTGGGAACATTGTGAGAGAAATAATTGATAATTTATGATTCTATTATATGTTAAATATAATAAGAAAAAGATATCCCCTATAGTAAAATAGATAGATAGCACTAGCAAGTAATTCATAAGAAATGTAAATGGCTAATAAATCAATGCTCCCAGTAATTTAAGGAATGCAAAATAAAACAATAATGGGACACAATTTTTGAATGTCTAAGGAGAATGCTTGTATTCTTGTATTGGTGAGAATATGGGTACTTGGATATTTTGATATGCTGCTAGTGGGCATGTAAACAGGCACAACCGTTTGGGACATTTGGTGTCAAGAGCCTTAAAAAAGTGTGTGTACCTGTTTGATTTCTAATTTTTTATTTTGAAGAAACATAGATGGTAGTATGGATTTATGTGTAAGGGTAATTACATTGTAGTACAGTATATAATAGTGGAAAATTGGGAACAACCTAAATAGCCAACAATAGATGATTAGTTAAATTATGGAGCATCTATGTAATGTAACACTATGCTTCTATAAAAGATGCATTATAGAAAAACAGTCATTTACATGGAAAGATTGGTATTATATTTAATCAGGGTATTCAAAATAAATCCTTTCTTCTTTCATTCATTCATATATGCACCTGGTAATAGTATAATTTATGATACTCATACCTCCTGGGCTTTCATTTCCTTTGGGTTTATTTTATCGTTAAAGTGTGCCTTTTAGTAGTTCTTTTAAAGAGAAAACTTGCTTATAAACTGTTGTGTCTGAAAATGATTATTTTGCCTTCGTTTCTGAATAATAATTTACCTGGCCATATACCAACTCTCTCAGCATTTTGAGGATATTCCTGTCTTTTGATAACCTCGCTTTGATGAAAAGTTTGCTGCTTTTGTTGCTTTATTTTATCTTTATCTCTGGTTTGCCTTTTTTAAGATTTTTGTTTGTTTGCCCTTCACGTTCTGTAATTTCCCTTCCATGTGTTGGTAATGTTTTTTGTTTTTTTTTTTTAATTTATGCCACTTGGGGCTTATGTACATTTTCGATTTGAGGTCTTGCATCTTAATTCTCAGCATGTTCTCTTGAATAATGCTTTTTCACCACTTTCCTTATTCTTCTCTTATGGGACTCCTATTTGTTATTGAGCTACTCATTTTATCTTCTATGTTTTTCATCTCTTTATTCCTCTGTGTTCGGACTGATATCTTCCAATCAATAATTCTCCATTCAGCTACATAGTTTATTGTTTAACACATTTTTGAGGTTTTTATTTCTCAGTTTGTACTTGGTTTCTCAGATTAGCCTGCTACTATTTTGTAGTATTATCTAATATTTAAAAGGATTCTATTCCTTCCAACTGTACATATTTTAATTTTTTTTTTTTTTTTTAGATTACTATCTGTAGTCCCTTAGCTATGAATTTTCTTGTTTTGTTGGGTCTGTGGACTGTCGGCAATGAACTTCTGTATGTATCTCCAATTCCCACTCACTACTGTAGCTGTTGAACTCTCTTTATCTTTGGTGTGTGGAGATTTCCCTTTTTTGCTTTCAAGCTTAAACATAAACGAACAACATAAAAAAACTTAAACATAAAAAAATGAACTTACTAAGTTGATGAGATACTCTGTATAACCAACACTTCAAGATTTTCAACTGTGAAAGAAAGTTTCAACATTATTTAGATTTATAGTTCTTAATGCTTCTGCAGTGATATCATAAAAGCAATTTTTTAATATCATAAAAGCATTGGACTCTATTCTCTGACATAACTCAAAAATACATTCACAATTATTCATAAAGATTCAGGGACTCCATAAAGTATATTTGTGAACCTCTGTCTGTGTGGACCCTGGTTTAAGACCCCATAACCCACTGGGATTAACATACTCATTTTTTTTTTCTTTTTTTTTCAATACAGGAGAGGTTGTGGGCTAATGAGATGGCATGAAAGCAAGGTTGTACAACAGTGGTTTTTAAGCTTAGTTAAGCAGTGGAGCCCTTTACTGATGTAAAATCTAATATGCTCAAATTTATGAAATCAATATAAGTAAATTTTCTCCAGTTGAAGCAGGGATGGGGTCGTGGAGCCTGCTCATTTGCTTTCCTCTACCCTCACCTACTCTGACCCCAAAGGCATACTCTTGGACATTCTGGAGCAGTGATAGGAAACTGTTGGTTAATTAGAAAGAACATTTGATTGTACTCTCAGGAATCCTGGGTTCTTGTTCCAGCTCTGTTGTTAACTGTTTATTTGTATTGGTTTTGAACAACACTAATCACTTTGTAAGAAAGGGAGGAGGCAGTTTAAAGGACATCAGTGAGAAGAACTGTATATGATGTTATAATATATTTGAAGAATATAATTATATAGTTACATTAAGAGGTTAGGAATGGAGTTTGATACAAGCAGAAATGTTATGAAATTTTTTCTTCTGGTTTTGCCATCTGACATCTTTTTAAAAAAAGTTTAGTCATTGTCCAAGATACATTGGGAAATGAAAACTTGGACAGTAGACTCATAGTTTAAAAATAAAAAAAAGTATTTAAATGTATACATTCTTATTTGGAAAAGGGCCTGGAAAGACATACATCAAAATGGAAAAAGTTAACTGTGGGTGAGGAGATGATTGATTTTATTTTATCCTCTTCTTCGTATTTTCTAAACATTTTAAAGTGCATGTTCATCTGTAGAAAGAAAAAAGTTTCAAAATAAAAGATTTATTAAAAAAAGTCATTCAAGTTCAAAATTAAGTTGAATATATATTTAGAATAAATTATAAAATTAACTAATTGTTGGTTTTTAAAAATAACAGAAACTGATTAAAAACATTCTTAAATACTTCCCTTTTAGGTTTTCTATGTGAGTGGAGAAGACAGTCGCTGCAAGTAGAAGTGACACAGCATTTTTTTTAGGATGTCTGAAGATGAAGAAAAAGTGAAATTACGCCGTCTTGAACCAGCTATACAGAAATTCATTAAGATAGTAATCCCAACAGACCTGGAGAGGCTAAGAAAGCACCAGATAAATATTGAGAAGGTGGGCTGTTTTTCATTTTCTACCACAAGAAACAGTTGCAAATTCTGATTTATACTTGTGCATTTCAGCCAAATTTAGAATATTAGATAGCAGGCTTTGGTAAAACATCCATCTCCTATTGATTTAGTAACATTCATTCTTTTCATCTGGGTTTTTGTTTTACAACTACATCTGGTATTATTCCTTTTTTAGGGAGGGATTTAGGAATAGAAACTATACCTTTTAAGTTGTACATACTGACATACTGGGCAGTTAATTAAAATACAAATTGTCTGATAGTGCACCATAATGTGAAGGCAGTGAACTTTGGCTAATGGGCCTGCCTTAATTTCCTTCACCCTGTGGCTAGTTTTTTTAACTTTGGTGTCTATCAATAACTCCTATCCTCTTCAGGTGCACATAGAATAAAGAGGTAAATCATTGTGTGAAAGAGGGAATTTCCCAAATTGACTTCTTCCCTTTGAGGAAAGCCCCAAATTGAGAAATACCACCTGGAGGTTAGTTTAGGAAATAGGTGAGAAAGAACTAGTCTCCTGGATCATAGTGAAGGTGGCACAGAAACTGGACTGGCCAGCATCTGATGGAGTAGTTGTGGCATTCATGGGAACATAGGGTTTACTACTGAGCATTGACTTGGCAGATTATATTGCTTTATTTGCTGTAGGATAGTCAGTGGGATTTGCTCCTTCAAAAAGACCTCCCCCAAATAAATTTTAAGCTGTGTGGCCCTCCATTAATTTTTTGTGGTGGGGGGTGGGGTGGAAGTGGTCATTAAACCTTTCAGTATAAACAATATTTATCACCCTCACCTGAGTACCTTATATAACTAAGAAGTGTCAGCTTTTATTTCCCCCATAGATACCATTTGTCTTCCTAGTATTTAAATCTTTTCAAAAAGTATAGAAAATAAGCACCAGGAATATTAAGATGAAAATTTTAAAGCAAATATGAAGCTATCTAGAATTCAAGATTGCTATTTTGTCATCTCAAGTTTTTCTTTATTCGTAAGCAATAAGTTCTGTGACTTTCTAGGGTGGAGGAGTTTTCTGGTAAACTGGTTAGTCTTGTCATAAACAGAAACAAATTACAGGGCTCCATGCTTTGATTAATGAGGAGGGCTTATTCTTTTAGCACTGTAACAATATAGAAATCGAGTTGTTTACTCTGGTTGATCATATCTGGGTGGCAGGTTGATAAGGTGTATTTTAAAGTCCTGAGCTCATGTCAAAGCGCTCAGTTACAGAGATGACTAGAACTTGGCAGATGAATTGATTCTGAAACCGAGACATAGGTGGACTATGCTCTGTTAAGATCGTTTCTTTGCCCTATATTACCTTTGAGGTTTGGCATGTCTTAAATTTCCCTTTTCTTATACTTATTCTGTATAAAGTGCCTGCAGTCATACCCTCAGATCCTAGCCACACATACACCCAGTCAGTCATCAATGGAAAAGCCAGAACCCTGGGAACAAGGAAGGTGGGGATAGGAAAGGATATGTTATTGATTCGATTAGTTGTGCCAAACATCATAAGAATATTATTCCAGAGTTATATTGATCTTTCTCTGCCATAACATTTTTCCTTTAGCATTTTGTGAAATTCTTACTTAATGTGAAATTTTTAGACAATGTCAGAATAATTATAATTTACAATATAGGTGATGTCTGAAGCTAGGCAAACTCATGCTGATCTGTGTTTTATTCAGTACTCTTGGTCATTATACTATCTCTAGGATTTCTAGTTTTATTATGGAAGTGACTTTTTATGTATATAAGCTTGGATAACATATTTTAATAGTTTATGGCAATGCGAAAACATTTAAAAGCTGTTTCACTGTGGACAAAAGAGTTATGAACTAGGTTTGGACTCCAGGTGTTTGACAGTGCCTCACTTTAAAAAAGGCATATTCTTCCTGGGGGAAGGGTGTAGAAAGATAAAATATTTATTATGTTAGCCGTCAGTCATCCAATATGAATTTAAAAGAAGAAAGTCACACTGAAGAGAAATTGAAGGTAAGCCTTGGTGGAGTGATTCTGCAACATCCGAAAACAATGAGAGTAGTGTGCTGCGCACACCTGGGACTGTATTCCATAGGTCCTTCAGCATTACATTTTATTACACATGATAGACTTGATTAGAACGCAGCGCTGAAATTTGAAGTGTTAGCATTCAGCTTTCTCGGCTAACATAAGACAGGCTTAAGCATAGTTAATAGAAACAAGATCATGCTTGGAACATAATTTTCTTTGTTTCATATTGTAGGGTTAGGAGAAAACTTACTGTGTAGCATGTACTGTGTTAGTATATAGTTAAAATACAAGTGGCAGAAAACCCCAAAATAGTGTATTAAATCAGATAGACCTTTTTTGTTTTTTGCTTTTATTTTTAACCGCTCATAGTTACAGAGGCACTCCGGGGCTGCAGTGGCAGCTCAGCAGTCATTAAAGACCCAGGCTCTTTTTATCCTGTTCTCTGATCCTCAACTTGTTTCTCTCTTGCATGTAAAATAGCAGCTCCAACCTCAGCTATTACATCCACATTCCAGCTAAGATGAAATAACGAGAGTTGTATTTTTGCTATGTTCTTTTTTCTGTCAGTTCTCTTTTTTCTTTTAAAGGGAATCCTCTTCTTGTTTCATGGATGTAATATCATGGCATCTCTCTGGTGATTTTATTTTAAAGTTTTTATCTGCTTCTTTGTCTGTCTTCCCTGAGGTTTTTTTTTTTATTCTTGCTCTCTCTTCCCCCCACCTCCCTTCCTCCTTTCTTCTTTGTGTCAGCCTGCAGTATTATGGGCATTCCTTGGTGAGCTGTTGATGTTTAAGAGTGCTAATTGGAAGGTATTTGTGTGCGTAGCAGGAAGTAGGTGGGGTTTTATACCTGGAGGGGTGAGCAGGTGAAAGCTCTGTTTTAATGGGGAACCACCAGATATTCTTTTGGAATGTGTTCTTCTGTGAAGATAGGGACAGTGTAGTTGCTTGGGCCTGTAGAGGGAGCACTTGGTAGACTACCTCTTCCTTACATAAACTTTCAACCAAGCCTTCTGCCCCACCATACACATCTTCCTAACTCCCTGGTAGCTGATCACTGAGTCTTTAGGGAGTAGTCGTGTGGCTGTTGGCTTGTCACTCACTGCCTCTCACACACCACTCACCCCTTCTGCAGCCTCATGGTGCAGGCTTTCTCAGATCTTCTAAGTTAGTTGCAACATCTGTACTCTTTCCAACTTCTAAAATTTTGTTAGAATTTCTTGTCGACTGATATCTTCTGTTGTATTTTCATGACTCTTGTGAATGTATACCTTTTAAAGTTCTTCATTGCCATTTTTGTTGGGTTTTAGAAAAGAGCAGAGATAAATGCTTGTGTTCAGTCTTCCAGGCTTAATGAGAAGGGAAGTCATTAATTATAAGAAATAAATAAGTTTGGGTGTTTGCTGTCTTTTATTGTTAGCACTGAAAAGTTCATAAAAAATAGTTGTTGTTTTTTTTTTAATTTAAATTAGGTTTCTAATCCTTAGGAAGTATACAGTCCAGTTAAGGAAATAAATTAAGAAATAATTCAGAGAATAGTAGTGACATATAATTAAGTGTGAAAGTGAGTTGCACGGACTGTTCAGGTTAGGTGTGAAGCACAAGCTATATGGTACAAAATCAAACCTAATCAGCCTCATTGATTTGTTATGTATCACTTCATGTATAAGAGCCTTATAATAATATACTTTCAATTCCTCTCTCAGGGTCTTATTATAGTGTTAATGTCATATAATTTGCTTCTGTATCCAATAATACATTGTTGTTATTTTTGTTTTAAACAGAGTTTTCTTTCAAAAAGGTTTTAAAAATAAGGAAAAAAATTCTTTTTAAAGATTTTACTTCTTTCAGAGAGAGAGAGTGGGGGCAGGGGCAGAGAGAGAGAGGGAGAGAGTCTTAAGCAGACTCTGCATTCAGTGCAGAGCCTGATATGGGGCTTGATCTCATGACCCTGAGATCATGACCTGAAAATCAAGAGCCCCACGCTTGACCAACTGCACCACCCAGGCACCCCCTCCCCCCACCCTGGCCAAATGTTTTATATTTACCATTTTCAGTGCTCTTCATTCCTTTGTGTAGGGCCAGGTTTCTCTTCCATTTTTACATCAGCCTGAAGGGCTTCCTTTTTTTTTTTTTTTTTTTTTTTTTTTTTTTAAGATTTGTTTATTTATTTTGAGAGAGAGAAAGATTGAGAGAGAGCACAAGCAAGAGAGAGAGATTCTCAAATGGACTCCACACAGAGCCCATGGGGGTGAGGGGGTTCGATGTCATGACCTGAGATCATGATCTGAGCTGAAATAAGAGTTGGATGCTTACCTGACTGAACCACCCAGGCACCCCTATATGGGACATTTTCATGTTTCTGTCCTTTCACAGTATTTCTAGGTTGATTTTTTTCTTCTTTTGACATGTAGTATACCAATGATACACTGAACACTTACTAACATATTGATCGTTTGGATTTTTTATTTAAACCAAAAATAGTATGTGATGTCTGGTGTTGATGTTTGTATTCTACATAAATATTGTGCTATAATGTTACCACATTTTGCTATGGTTCCTGTCAAATGAAGAATTTTCTGTTATCCTGCTCATCAAGTTTCTTGGTTGAAACCCTGAAGGCTAAACATTGCCTTGGTAAAAACTAAAGAATGTGTATTTAGTGTTCATTCTCATTTTTGTGTACTTTCTAGTCTGCAGTATCAATGTTACTTTTTCTCAAAGTCAGATTTTAGTTTTTAATCCTTGACACTATCATTGACAAACTTTTAAAATTCTTGGTAAATAGTAACAATATCTCATGAATACTCTTAATCTTTATTTTTTATTCTTTTACATTCTCATTATTTTTTTCATCTCCAAAGAACTTGCAAAACTGAGCACACTGCCTTTTTTCAGTAAAGTAAATTGTATCTAGTTATTTTTATTTGTTTTACCATTTGCCAGAATTTTGTAGGTGATGTTTTCAAAACTTTCCTACTCATATTGTCATTGGACCATTAACTGACACTATTAAGTCAATAACTTTGAGCTAGTATCTTTAAGTTTGGTTAGGTGAGTGGGGATTTTTGTGGTAACTAGAAGTAATAAGTTTAGTAATTAAAAAAACCTGTACCTTTCTTCTCTTTTATATAGTATCAAAGGTGCAGAATCTGGGATAAGTTGCATGAAGAGCATATCAATGCGGGACGTACAGTTCAGGTAAGGCTATTATATTGTTTCTAGTTAATCAGTATGGAAAAGACAATCTTAAGAAAATTTTGCTAAAATAAATACCCTGTGGTTGGATCCTTTTATGCATATTTGTAACTATTTCTTTAAGGGTACATTTTTAGCAGGATTTACTGAATCAAATGTCATATATATTTTTAAGATTTTGATTCATATTACTAAAATTTCCTCTAGAAACAATGAATCAACTTACACTCAAAATCAACACATTTTCTAAAAACCTTACAACCATAAGTATTACCCATTTCTTAAAATTTTGCTGATTAGTAGTTCAAATAATGTTGCTTTATTGTTTTTATCTAGAGTTTTTCTTTAATTGCTTTGAATGGTGAAATTTTTTTTTCATATGTTCCTTGGGGAGTAGTATTTCTTTTGTAAATTTCCTGTTCCTGTCTCCTGCGTGTATTATGTTGTTGTCTTTTGCAAGAGTTTTTAGTCATTTTAAGGTATTGTTCTTCTATCTATAATACAGTTACAGTAACATAGTGTTGCAAATCTTTTTTGCAGCTACTGGCTTTTTAATAATAAATGTTAATTATTTTAAATTAATTTTAGAAAATCATGTATTTACATGGTGAAAAGCCAAATAAAGTTAAAAGGCTTTACCTTACCCTTTTCCATCTCCAAGTCCTAATTGCAAGAAACCACTTTTAATCATTTTGACCATTTTCCCTGGTATTTATCTCTTTATTCCTTAATATCATTTGTAGACTGGTATTTCTCAATCAGGTTGAGGTATTATCTGTTCTTGCGGTATTATCTCTTCTTGGAGCTCTAGCTTTTTACTCTGCTTTTGTACTTCCTTTCTCCTTATACAATTATATATAGTGTAATTTTTGGTTAAATTATAAGTCAGTATTTCATTATTTTGTTTATGAAGATATTGTTTCCTTCCTAGCCAAATGGTAAAATAGTATAGTCTTTGCTTTTTATGAAGTTAATAGTTGTTTCTCTTTTTCTCTCTTTTTTTTCTTTACTGGCTTTCTGTGTATTTGTAGTTAATTTTTTTAAATGTTCCACATCTCTGCTACATGCTATCAGTAATAATTTTCATATGCTCAGATTTACTACGTTCCATTCTTTATACTGAAGACTCCTTTCTATAGCCCTATTCCCAGTCCCGATCTGAATTTACTTTCTAGACTTGTTGCATGGCTGCTATTCTGGGATTTCCTTCACTGCTCTTCTGTGTGGGTCCATGTTTTCTGGGATATCATGTCTTACTCACTTTTGGTTTACTTTTGTTTTGTTGGAGTACATCTTTTAGTAGGTCTCTAAATAAGGGTACCTTGGAGGTAAATTTTTATGTTATTATGAGTCAGAAAAGTACCTTTTTTCTCCTCACATGTGATTACTAATTTCAGTAGGTATAGAATTCTAGTTGGAATTCTTTTAGATATAAAGGTTTTTTAGTGTAGCTCTTGCTAAAGCTGATATCTGATTTCCCAATTTTTATTTTTCTCTTTGGGAGCTTTTGTAATCCATTTAATCCCTGGTGTTCTCAAATTTGATCATGGTGTGCTTAGTGTTGGACTCTTTGAATCTAAAAACTTATGTTCTTTATTAGTTCTGGGAAATTTATTTGTTTAATCATTTTTAAAGACTTATTTATTTATTTTAGAGAGCATGCACTAGCAGTGGGGAGGGGCAGAGTAAAGAAGAGAGAATGCAAACCCCCACTGAGTACAGAGCCCTGTATGGACCCCAAGACCTGGATCATGACCTAGCCGAAATCAAGAGTCAGATGTTTAACCAACTGAGCCATCTGGTGGGAAATTTAAATTATTTGATGATTAATTCCTCTGCTCTTTGCTTTTTTTTTTTTTTTTTTTTTTTTAAATCTTTAATTGCAAGAGTCAGCAAAATATGGCATTTTCCTTGGAGGAACCTCCAAATATCAGTAGCTGGAGGCTTGTTCTGGTTCAGTTTTCTAAAGAAGAATCCTCTTTCTCCTGGGACAAGTAGACACTTAACTTTTCAGTTATAGAAACAGACTAAGTGAAGGTTGCTAGGGTGTCCTTGTTTAGTGCAAGGTTTCACATACATCTCTTTTAGCCCTGTGCTTGGTGTTTCTGAATCTCCACAGTGATTTGTTTCTCCAAAGAGTGCATCTCTGGGCTTCTTGCATTTCAAAAAGGTTTCTATAGCTGCAGTGTAGTGAATAGATCGGGATAGAGTGAAATGAATGCAAGAGAGCCTTTAGGAGAGATTACAAGAGATAGTGGAGATGGAAAAAAACAGATTGACTTGAGGTCTCATAGAAATTTGACTTACCTCTTTATATATGTATTTTACTGCTTGCTAACTAAATTATGGACCTAAAGATCAGGGATTGTGTCTCTGCTATTTGCGTATCCCGCAGTACCTGGTGTTCAGCAAGATTCAGTGTTTATTGAATGGTATTAAGCATGTAAATGTCAATGAGACTATTATGACTAGGATTTCTTACCATCTTCCCTGTTCAGTAGGTCAGTAAAAATCACTTATTTTCTTGAGACAATGGCTATAATCAAAGTGTTTACTGATTAAAGAATATATGTATATTTACATTATTGATCTCCATCTGGCAAAGCTTTATGTGTGCCATTAAAAGAGTGAGATTGAAACTGTTTTTAGATGTAAGTATTTGTTTAGTTTTATTCATATATGCTCTGAATTTTCTGGATAGGCTAGTTCTTTGCTAGTTTGTGTAAAACTCATTTTTTGGACAGTTTCCTAAACAGTTAACAATGGCTATTCTAGATTTCTCATTATTAGATATATATGAAAAGAACTATCTTTTTACTTTCATTATAGCATCTTTGTTGAAAAGGAATTCTTAATTTAATCATACTCTAATTTTTCAGTCTTTTGTTTTATGGTCATGTTTAAGGTGTCTTATTCAAGGAATATTTTCTATTTTAAGATCAAGAAGTTATTTTCCTATATTTTATAAAACATTTTATTTATTTATTTAGTTTTAAAAGATTTTATTCATTTATTTTGACAGAGAGAGAGCACAAGTAGGCAGAGCGGCAGGCAGAGGGGAGAGGGAGAAGCAGGCTCTCCGCTGAGCAGGGAGCCCAAGGCAGGACTTGATCCCAGGATGCTAGGATCATGACCTAAGCTGAAGGCAGCCGCTTAACTGACTGAGCCACCCAGGCTCCCCTAAAACATTTTAAAAAAATGTTTTAAATATTTTGCTTTTAACATTTAAGTCTTTAATCCATCTGAAATTGGTGATACGAAGTAGATACAAATAAAATTTCCCTTATTCTATTTGAAAAACCAGTTGTCTCACACTATTAACTGATTTCTACAATTCTATTTACATATCACAATTCCATATATGTATGTGTCTGTTGCTGGTCTTTCTATCCCACTGGTCAGTTTGTCTGTTTCTCCATCAAGTTCCACACTATCTTAATTAGACAGCCTTATGATATGGCTTGATATCTGGTAGGATAGTGCTTCCATTTTTCCCTTTTTGGGAGTGTTTTGGCTGTTCATGGCCCTTTAGTCTTCCATATGAAATTTGGATCTGCTTGTCAAAGTCCATATGCAATCTTGTTTGGAATTTGGGAATTGCGTTGGATTTATCCATGTATTTAGAGAAAATTGACGTATTTATAATGTCCAGTTTTCCCACCTATGAATATGGGATATTCTTGTACTTTTAATGTACTTTTTAATAGTCTACATACCAGTTGTGGTAGATTTTTAAAGATACCTGCAAATATTTCCATCTAGTTGGTATTGCACATTATGATTGTGCATTATGATCGTGCACTGTGATGGTGCTATATCACAGTATGATTCCCTTCCTGTTGAATCTGGGCTGAGGCAGGAATAATGCTGCCTGATTTCTGAGGGCAAGTCAGAAAGGTCAGATAACTTCCAAAGTAGTTCTCTGTGGGTGCCTGCTCTGGGGGAACTTTGCCATCATGTGAAATGTCCAGCTATCCTCCTTTGGGGGAGATAGATATTCTTTTGAATAATTGGTTTAAATCCCTTTGGACTTTCTCTTTATATGTATATATATTTTTAATAATATTTTTCTTCTCTTGTAAGATCACCCATTTTTCCTGATTTCTTCCTAGCTTTGATTTCTTGTGTTCCGCCCCCCCCCCCCGCCAAAACTGGCTTTCTAGTTATTGGAAGAAATAATTGGTTATAAACAAGCTTGCTCAAATTTATCTTTTTTTTTTTTTAAGATTTATTTATTTATTTTGGAAAGCAAGTGCATATGCATGAATGGGGGGCCAGGGAAGCAGGGAGGGGCGAAGGGAGTGGGAGAGAGAATCCTCAAGCAGACACCCTGCTGAGCGCAGACCCTGAGGCAGGGCTTAATCCCAGGACCCTGAGATAAAGACCTTAGCCTAAATCAGGAGTTGGAGACTTAAGGAACTGAGCCACCCAGGTGCCTCACTGCTCAAATTTATCTCTTAAAAAAAGATCTTAGGAGCACCTGTGTGACTCAGTTGGTTAAGTATCTGTCTTGATCTCAGATCCTGGGATCAAGCCCTGCATCAGGCTCCCTGCTCCCCGTCTTGCCTCTCTCCTCACTCATGTTCTCTCTCGTTCACTCACTGTGCGCATGTGCGCTCTCTCTCTCTCTCTGTAAAATAAATAAGTAATCTTTAAAAAAATTCGTATAAATGACAACAGCTCCCTCTGCAAAAGAATTCTTATTTCTTTTTATACATAATGCTTTCTCTGAAAGTAAAATCTCATTCTGCTGTATTCCAGGATGATTGTAAGGATTGTTAATCATGTGTGCAAAGTGTTTACATAGCCCTTGTCATAAGTAAGTATTTAGTAAATAAGAGGAATTGGAGTAAGCTTGATTTGATACTTTCTCTTTTAACTGCTAGATCAAGCCAAGCAGAAGTGTTAGGTTTTGTTAGTTTAACTTAAAACACATTGGGGGCGCCTGGGTGGTTCAGTGGGTTCAAGCCTCTGCCTTCAGCTCAGATCATGATCTCAGGGTCCTGGGATCGAGCCCCGTATCGGGCTCTCTGCTCAGCAGGGAGCCTGCTTCCTCCTCTCTCTCTGCCTGCCTCTCTGCCTACTTGTCTGCCAAATAAATAAAATAAAAAAAAAAAACCACATTGTAAATGCATCATTTTTTTCCCACCTTGGTTTGCTTGTCTTACAAAGGTACAAAATGTGTATTTTAAAAAGCTTAGTCTTTCTTGCCCCCCTCCCCAAGTACTTAACATACAATAATAATAGTAGCTGATAATATAGGATTCTGTAAAATATATCACAATATTAGCTTTGAAGAAACTTACCAAAATGTGAATTCATAAAAAGTTAAATAAAATATTTAAATAATAGTTTAAGGCTTTAGTAATAAAAGAAGTAAGTCAACATACAATTTTCAAATATATTATAAAGACCAGTAAGTGATATAGTTCCAGTTGGCTAGATGCTGGATAAGGGAAGTGTTATCCTCATTTTTTAGATAAAGTAAGGCTGAATAACAAAGAAACGTAGTGTATTAACTGCACAAGGCCTCAATAAGTGGTAGTGCAGGAATCTAATCTGGAATTAATATTAACTTAGGGAGTACCGCACTTAATACCTATATGTTAGTCCTCATTAGATACATGTTGAGTAAATAAATGGAGACTTTTTTCTCCTTTGAGTTTTACTGCTTTTGGTATTTCAGTTAGTATTTTTAAGCTATATATAATATATATCGTTTCTTTTTGGTGCCTTTTGGTGTTGAAATAAGTGTAAAGTTGTTACACTACTATCAATACCTTAGTGTAGTTAGGTAATACAAGAACAGTCCAGATTTATTGTAATTAAGCAGTTATGACTCTGGAGCCTTTAATAATAAATGATATGTCTAGAATGTGTTTACTCTAAGTTGTTTAAATGTTTACTAGTGGACTTGTGCTCTGTTTGTAAGGAAGTCAGGTTATTATGATACCAAATGTTTTTGGCTGTACACAATTTGCTCACAAAATTACATGTTGTAAAAACACATTAAGAATCCTTAATCAATATTTAACACAAGCAAATATATGCATAGCCACTCTTTTAATCATTAAATACATAATTAACCATTTTTTCAGAATTTTAATTAACTCAGAATAATTACTTTCTACAATTATCAGTAAAGATAAGTATATGTTTAAACATATTTTTTAATCTTTAGATAGAAACTTTAGGGTATTTCTGGAAGAAGGGGGAAAAGCCAAAACTAGTTATTAAATTTTGTTATAGAACTAAAGAGAGAGATATATAACCTTGATTATAAAAAGTTTGGCCATAGTTTTCAGTTTACTGTTTTGTATCCTATAAGCTTGCTAATTACTGAGTTAGTGTAGTTTCTTGTTTCTGAACTTACTTCATTGACTATCTAACTTGCATATATAATAACTTGTAGATATAATAACTTGCAGATATTATAAATTTTCAAAACTTGGCATGTCAGCCTTTCTAACCTGATTATTAAAAGAGCAGAAACATTTTAACTTTTGCTATGTTCTAGATACTATTCTAGACCCTGGGGGATATAGTCATGAGCAAAACAAAATTCTTATTGTCATTGAACTTATATTCTGGGGATGGTGAGTGGAAAAAGCAGAGACAGATAATTTTTTAACAAATAAATATATAATGGGACATGTGGATGGCTCAGTTGGTTCAGCGTCTGCCTTTGGCTAAGGTCATGATCCTAGAGTCCTGGGACCAAGCCCCATGTCGGACTCCCTACTCAGCGGGGGGTCTGCTTCTCCCTCTCTCTGTGCCACTCCCCTGCTTATACTGTCTCTC